GATTCATACTTCGTACATACCACATTCCGATTATTAATGGATGTTTGCAGTTGTTTCTTTTCATCTTGAGTCATGCCACATCAGCAGACGAAGATCCCAAAAGGTTGACTGCATCCACATCATTAAGGTCGACTCTACTTTGAGGAGGCAGCTCTTTCCCAGTCGTCTTTTGAGTTCCTTCCAACTGGAGAGGCACTGCTATTCATAAGGTTTTCACTGGCTAATTCTTTTCAGAAGTAGACCACCGGGTCCTTCTTCCTAGTCTGTCTTAGTCTGGAAGCTCAGCTGAAACTTGTCCATCATGGGTAACCCTGATGGTATTTGAATGCCCATGGTGTAGCTTCCGGCATCATAGCAACATGCAAGCCCACACATTATGGCAAAATGACAGACGAGTGGGGGAAAAATAACCTATTTAAAATAAAGATGAGAATGTAAGGGGGCAGGGAAACTATATCGTGGAAATGGAATAACCAGAACTGAAATAATGGAAATGTTCATGCACTGTGAAGAATGTAACTGATGTCACTGAACAACTTGTGTAGGAATTGTTGAATGGAAACCTAAAGGCTGTGTAAACCTTAAATGAAAACACAATACGTAAAATATTATTTTTTTTAAAAAAGTCTGTCTGAAAATAAAAAGAAGCTAGTATTATCACAACAAAAGGTTTTCAGGTCTTTCCTAGAGTTTTTACAAATGGATGACATCTGGGAAAGGTTTTTCCCATTTTGCTCTTATTCTCCCATTTAAAAAACACAAAATCATTGTTAAAACTAGAGATGCAATGTATTATTAGTATGATGTGATCGTTAAGGTTATGTGTTACCTTGGCTGGGCCATGATTCTCAGTGATTTGGCACTTACGATGTATTTTGGCAGTCCTGTGATGATGTGATCAATTCCATGATTAGATTTGATATAATGCTATCACCTCCATGTTGGGATCTATTGTGAGTAGCCAGTCAGTTGAAAGGGAGTGTCCTTGGAGGTATGGACTGCATCGAATATATAAGTGGAGTTTCTGGCTCGTGGGCTTTTGCTCACTCTGGATGCTGCAGCTGGCCCCTGATTGTCTTACCTCTGATTCTTGGGACTTGAGCTAGCAGCTTACCTGCTGTCTTGCTTGCCAGTCTTGGGATTTGTCAGTCTTCGTCAGTCTTCGCAGCCTGTGAGCAAGAGCCCTGCTGTGTGACCTGCCGATTTTGGGTTAGCCAGACCCTGTGGCTATGTGAATCAGGAGAGGCCTCTATCCTGACCCACGGACTTGGGACAGTCTAGCCTCTACAACTGTTTAAGCCATTTCCTTGATATAAATCTCTCTCTCTATATATATATATTTACATGATTTATTGTTTTTGCTTCTCTGGAGAACCCAACCTAAGATACATGGGTACATGAGTTCTGTTTGCTACTAAATATTGTAGTTTTACAGTGACCACCAAAAGGTTCTTTGGCCCTCCTTGTTACAGTTGACTATGATTTGAAAACCTAATAGGGAGCAGAACTTTTCTATTATTAATACTGCCCACAAAAAGACAAATATGTTTATCATAAGGAAGGACTTCCACGTACAAAACTCCTTTAGAAATCATTGCATTTTTACTTTATTCAGAATTTTCAATCACAGAATATCTTGGTGACAAAAATATGAGTTACAAAGCCAGAAGAGTACATCTAATCTCATTTTATGTGCACACCAAGATCTCAAACTTAAATACTTTAAAGACCACAATTGGGACATCTAGAAGTCTTTTCTAAGACTTACTGCTCCTGAATATCCTACACCTTCACAGCTTTAGATAAACCATCTAAGAAGCTTGCAAAGCAGTGAAACATGTTAATCTGCTGATTCAGGTTTTTAGCACTAATTTTCAAGTGACTGATAACACAGGTTTTAAGTTACACCTTCTCAGAATCTTCCCCATCTGTCAGCAAAGCAAAATAATTTTGTTTTCCTGCAGTTCAGTAATTTTTTAAGCACTTTAGAAAGTTTCCAAGCATCTTTTGTCACTTCCAAGCAACAAGCTTACTAGTATTAACAATTATATTCACTAGTTTTTTTTTTTTTTTCACTTATAAACTCTATTAAACTCCCCAGAGCTCTGCCTACTGCTTTTTTTCCTCCAGGGAATTCCCTTCAACCTACATTCCCTACAACCCCCACCTTCTGGGCTGCATACCTAACCAGACCTCTCCCCTTTCACGCCAAACCCCAGTACCAGTGGGAAGTTGTACCCTTCCCCTCCTACAGCCCCACCCTTAGGGCCTGCTGATTTCATGCCAAGAGTACTCTGAAATCTAATCAAGTAAAGTCCAAGTTAAAAAAAAAAAAAGGAACAAGCTGAATCACAGATCTTCCCCTGTACACCTACCATCCCCTTCTGCTAGTAATCTGCAGTGCAAATCTGAAAGCCCATACTAGACCTGGTGTCTGTATTACACAAATTTGGACACCACCAATTTGTACCCTCCCCTAGACTTTAGCACAACACAATGACCCGCCCACCCCTACAATTTGCCAGTCTTCCTTAACTCAATATTCTCTTTGCCTAAGGCCTTTAAAACTTGAACAACTTTCCCCAACACACAGGTTAAATTGTATTAAGAATTCCTTTGACCACTGCACAGGCAGGTAGGCAGGTAGGTACTGTGAGAGGGTCACTGGGCTTCATTTGCAAGCTCCAAGTACATTACTCTGCATTGTGGCATCAACGTTGAATAGTTCTGCAGCTCAGGCTTATAGTCTTCTTAAAGCAAGGTTCATAGCACAGAGCTAGTATATGAAAGGAGGCTCAGTTTAGAAGATGCAGCATCTGGAAACCTCCACCCTCCAGAAAAGGAGGGGAGCCTGATGGCATTCACATGCCTGGAGGTTGGCACTGCCTGGATCACCAGATTCAAAGCAACACATCTGCTGGTGGCCTGTGGGTCTGGATGCATCTGCTTTACAGTTTTTTTTTTTTTTTTTTAAGATTGCCCATTCATAAGCTCATCTGAAAACCTGAAATGGTGGCCTCCTGAATAAAGGGCTTTCTGAGCAAGGCCTGGAAACATGGCACTGGAGAACTGCCTGCGCCTAAGCCTCTGGAAGTTCAGTCTGCAGGCATCAATGTAGGCGGGCTTCCTCCTTCTAGGTCTGCCCTCCTGCACTACCACGCCTCACGCTGGCCAGGGGCTCCATTTCTCCTGGTGCCATCTGATCGCCATGATGAACACTGCAGTAACACACCAAGGTCCATAAGGCATTCTCATAATTTTCAGCTTGTACCATCGCCTGCCCAAGGCTGCATATTCGGTCCCCAGCCTCTCCACAGGCCAGCAATCGCTTTTTCCGGCACTCCTGCCCTGGAGCCTGGAGTGAGGCCTCACCAACCGCCCCCTCCCCGCCCCCCGCCCCCAGCCTCAGGGGGGAATGCCTTCCCTCTTTATTATCAGCAATACCTCCTCCAGTAGGAACTTCAGCTCCTTCCCTAGACTTAGCAGGTTACTGGAAGCAGTTTTTTAAGTGAATGGACAACTTTGAGAGAGTTAAAGGGAGGAGGAACAGGGACAGAGTGAGTTCACCGAAGAGATTAGCTTCAAACCTAGAGAAGGAAGTCCAAAGGGGAGCAATGCCACCTAGAAAATAAAGTGTTGGCCAGTTTTGCCCACAGGCACACAAACATCCTGCTTCAGCAGCCTCTGCCTGTCAGACACATTAGGTGCCACCCCAGTAACCAGTTAGGATGGCACCTACCTCTTGAAGCACACCTTCAGTCACCCCTCACTTCTGACCAGGGGCCTCTCCTGACGCTCAGACCTGGCCTGGCCTGGTCACCAGAGCTGTCAGCCCTGTGAAGCTAAGTTCAGTTTCCACAACAGCAGGCCTCATCCCCAGGTGGGTTCAGAATGCTTTGGGGAAAAAAAGAGGGGGTGGGAGGCTACTGGTTTCAACAAGTTCAAGGTCTACCCTCCCAGCCAACCTGCACCCCGCAGTCTTCCTTTCTAATCATTTCCAGGGCAACAGATGCCCAAGTCTGCCACCTCGCTTTTAGGCATGTGGAAACCTTCATGTCTTTTCTACTTCCTCCTGTCTCTTGCTGCCTTCCCTCCTTCCACAGAAACCAGAGGACCCCCCTCACCCCACACCTCCCTCAGCCCATGTAGAGGCGGCACCCTCCCAGAGGTCCAGGGTACCCTTTCCTGCAGCCAGCAGAGACAGCCTGGCTTGGAGTGTTGTTCTGCTTCTGGGATCCTGTGAACACTTTCAACACACCTCTCCCCAGGACAGTTTTCCCCAGATCTAGTCTCCTTTACAGCTTTCTTTTCCTTTTGGACTCCCATTCTGAATTAACTGTCATCTCATCTGTCTGCTGAGGCCCTGAACTGGCTGCTTCCTCCCCCACAACTAGACCCAGGTGTCCAGCCCTCCCTGGCACTGACGTCTTTCTTAATTACTATATTAATCAGAATCCGGAAGGCTACTGGCCAAATTAAAGAGCCCTCGTGGCACAGTGTTTAAGCACTTGGCTGCTAACCAAAAGGTCAGAAGTTCAAACCCACCAGCCACTTTGCCGGAGAAGAGACCTGGCAATCTGCTCCCTTAAAGATTACAGCCTAGGAAACCCTATGAGGCAGTTCTGCTCTGCGCTATAGGGTTTCTATGAGTTGGAATCAACTTGAGGGCACACAGCAAGAAGAATGGCCAAATTTACCTGGAAACTTGCAGCAACACTTAATGATCTTTGCTTTGTCATTGCTTGGTGTTTTGTACATATTGGAAGCGCAAGAGATGTTGAATAAATTAAAGAGAAAGGACTAATAAACATCTCAAATGTTTTATTTATTTCAAATTTTTATTTTCTTGTCATCTTTAAAGCTTGATTAGAAAGTTAAATAGGAAAATGAAATAATCTTATTACTCGTCCAAAATTTACATTTTTTAAGATAATCATAGTTTTCTTTTCTTTTTTATCTTTACTCACTCCATAGAGTGGAACTTCCACTATTTTAGAAGAATGGATTTGTCGGCACTAAACTCATTTGCGGTTCTTCTCTGGAGAAATTTTACTTTAAAGGTAGGTTGAGCCAGCTTTAGGAGATTGTTGCAACGGCTAAGAGACGCAGGAGAAAACTGACAGCTTGATCACTGCATTTTCACTTATACTGTTTTGTTTATTTCCAGTTGCAGGGCTGGGGGGGTATCTGTCAAATCTAAAGAATACTCACAGAGTGAATTAATAGCAGAATGATGTGTAGAAAGGACAAAAAAGACAGTTCAGGGAACTGTTGTTATTATATGGTGAAGCTATGAGAAAGTTGGTATAAAGGAACTAGCCATTTGCAAACTTAATGACCTGTTAGAGTAATTAACACAATTCTGGTATTTTCCTCTTTCAGAGGCGGCGTTTTATTGCTTTAGGTGTGGAAATTCTGCTGATATTACTATTTGCTGGTATACTTTTGATGACACGCTACTTTATTGCTGCAAAAGACTCTGGACCTCTCCGTTACTCTGCTCTACCTATCAATGATGTACCTAAATTCCTCAGAAGTCCCACCCTTTTTCAAAGTCCTTGGCTATTGGCTTATCTGCCTTCCAGAAGTATTGTGGTAAAGAAAATTGTTGAACGTGTGAAAAAGGATTTAGACATCAATTTTACAGGTTAGAAATAAAGGTTTTTTGAAAAATGTAATTATTAAATTCTTTTAGAGGAGACACACATAACCTTTGTAATGGGACATTTAATCTCCCAAGTACAGTCTTGTAGGACATCGTCATAACAAGGTATTAATCCTAAATATAATATTATGGACTTTATTAAATTTGAGAGTTAAATTCATATAAAATATGTCCTCATTAAAGACTGTGACAGTTAATTTTATGTGTCGATTTGGCTAGGCTGTGGTGCTCAGTTTTTTAGTCAAACACTAGTCTAGATATTGTTATAAAGTATCTGCATGTGACTAAGTCACCTTGTCTTAAATGTTACCCTGCGTAATGTGGCTAGGCCTCCTCCAATTAGTTGAAGGCCTCAAGAGAAAAAATGGAGGACGCACGAGGGAGTATTCTGCCTCCAGACTATAAATAGATATCTTGCTAGAGTTCCTGACTCTCTCCCTCACCACCTGAGGGACACAAGACTACCTGAATTTCCAGCCTCTTACCTGACCTAGAGATTTTGGATTTGCCAGCCTGCACAATTGGGTTAATTGTGTTTTTTAGATCTTCTGTATCCTTACTGTTTTTTGTCTGCTTTTTCTATGAGTTATTGAGAGAGGTAGTATTAAAATTTCTCAGTAGGATTTTTTGATTTGGTTATTTTTCCTTTTTGCTTATATATTTTGAAATTATGTTATCAGGTCATGCAATCTTTCTGTTGAATTGCTTTAAAAACAATCCAGCAATCTAGCATTTCCACTATCTCTATTTTTAACGGATGCCAGGTCTCTGGCAAAATGTTCCATTTTTTATTTATTAACCATATTATCCATTTGTAATTGTTGTTGTTGTTAGGTGCTGTCAAGTCAGCTCCAACTCATAGCTATCTTATGTATAACAGAATGAAATGTTGCCCTGTCCTCCACCATCCTTAGAGTCATTGCTATGTTTGAGCCCTTGTTGCAGCCACTGTGTCAATCCATTCATTGAGGGTTTCCTTCTTTTTCACTGACCCTCTACCAAGCATGATGTCCTTCTCCAGCGATTAGTCCCTTCTGATCCTGTGTCTAAAGTAAGTGCGACAAAGTCTTGGCATCCTTGCTACTAAGGAGCGTTCCGGCTGTACTTCCTCCAAGACAGATTTGTTCATTCTTCTGGCCGTCCATGCTATATTCAATACTCTTTGCCAGTACCACAATTTGAATAGGTCATTTCCTCCTTGGTCTTCCTTTTTCATTGTCCATCTTTTGTATGCATATGAGGTGATTGAAAATGCCATGTTTTAGGTCAGGCGCACCTTTGTCATCAAAGTGATATTTTTGCATTTTAACACTTTAAAGAGGTCTTTTGCAACAGATGTGTCCAGTGCAATACATCGTATGATTTCTTGACTGCTGCTTCCATGGGCATTGATTGTTGATCCAAGAAGGATGATATCCTTGATGACTTCAATTTCTTTGCCAGTTATCATGATGATGTTGATTGGTCCAGTTGTAAGAATTTTTGTATTCTTTATGTTCAGATGTAACACATACTGAAGGCTGTAGTCTTTACCTTCATCAGTAAGTGCTTCCAGTCATTTTCACTTTTGGCAGGTAAGGTTGTGTCAACAGTTAACTGGTCTTCTTTGTAGGTGTGTGGATATTATCCTATCACTGACAGTGTTGTACTTCAGGATAGATCTTGAAATGTTCTTTTTGACGATAAACACAATGCCATTGCTGTTCAATTTGTCATTCCCTGCATAGTAGACCATACGATTGTCTGATTCACAATGGCCAATACCAGTCCATTTCAGCTCACCAATGCCTAGGCTATCAATGTTATGCGTCCCCCATGTGTCTTGTCAGTTTGTCATACTGTGGGGGCTTGCACGTTGCTGTGATACTGGAAGCTATACCACCGGTATTCAAATACCAGCAGGGTCACCCATAATGGATAGGTTTCAGATGAGCTTCCAGACTAAGACAGACTAAGAAGAAGGACCTGGTGGTCTACTTCTGGTAGAAAATCAGCCAATGAAAACCTTATGAATAGTGCTGGAACATTGTCTGATTAATGCTGGAAGATGAGCTCCTCAGGTTGGAAGGCCCTCAAAATACAACCAGGGAAGAGCTGCCTCCTTAAAGGAGAGTTGACCTTAATGACGTGGATGGAGTCAAGCTTTTGGGACCCTCATTTGCTGATGTGGCATTACTCAAAATGAGAAGAAACAGCTGCAAACATCCACTAATAATAGGATCGTGGAACGTACGACATGTGTATCTAGGAAACCCCATCATCCTAGGTTGATGCAGTTGCTTTCTCATGCATGGCAATGAGTGAAAGAACAACTGTACCCTATCTGGGCTTCAGGAAACTGGTTGCACACTCACGTGTGTGTGTGCGCGCACGTGTGCTTAATTCTGTACTCATTGAGGCTAAGTATGTGTTGCCATGAAAAAGGTTGGAAGTTATATTCTTTTAGGGTTGGGCTTTTTCTTTTTCTTTCTCACTAGGATGGAAAGTGGGAGAGGCAAATGAGTTGAAGAATCTGAAGAGGTATTGAAGTGATAGATCCTGGAATCCATGATAGAAAGGACACAAATTTAAGAGAAGTCTGATTTGTATTTAAAGTGACTGGATTGTCAGTGGCTCCTGGTTGAAGACCTCCATTGCTACATCACAAAACCAGAATACCACCAGCTTCCCATGTTAATGTTTTCAACAGCTGTCTTTCTGGGAAAAACCAGAATGAAGAGCACACCACATATTTGTGGGACTGATTATTTAAGCTCACTTTCCCTCAGCTTCCTAACCTAAATAAAAATAATAATAGTACCTAATGTATAGGGTTTTTGTGAAGATCAAGTGAGTTAACATGTGTAAAGCATTTACAGCAGTGCTCCGCAAATGTCATTTTGTTGTATTGTGGGGGCTTGCATGTTGCTGTGATGCTGGCAGCTATGCCACTGATATTCAAATACCAGCAGGGTCACCCATGCAGACAGGTTTCAGCTGAGCTTCCAGACTAAGAGTAGGAAGAAGGACCCGGTGGTCTGCTTCTGAGAAGACGTAGCCAATGAAAGCCTTATGAATAGCAGTGGAAAATTTTCTGATTAGTGCCGGAAGATGAGCCCCTCAGGTTGGAAGTCACTCTAAATACGACCAGGGAAGACCTGCCTCCTCAAAGTAGAGTCGACCTTAATGATGTGGATGGACTCCAGCTTTTGGGACCTTCATTTGCTGATGTGGCATGACTCAAAATGGAAAGAAACAGCTGCAAACATACATTAATAATTGGAATGTGGAATTTACAAAGTATGAATCTAGGAAAATTGGAAATTGTCAGAATTGAATTTTCTTTATAAACTGTGTTATCCCAGTTGAGCTAGATGTTCCCCAAGACCATGGTCCCCATAGCCCTCAGCCTGGTAATTCTATCCTTCAGAGGTTTGGATGTGTCTGTGGAGCTTTCATGATCTTCAAGGCAGAACTTTTTTACTAGTTAAGCTAAACTATTGTTTGGTTTTAAAGATGACTTCAGGGGATATTTTTGGTTTAAGGTTTAAAGATTATCTCAGGGCAATAGTTTCAGGGGTTCATCCAGCCCCTTTGGCTCCAGAAAGTCTAGAGCCCATGAGAATTTGAAATTCTGTTCTGCATTTTCCCCCTTGTGATCAGGAATTTTGTATGGAATCTTTGATCAAAACGTTCAGTAAAGGTAGCCGGTAACATCCAGTTCTGATCTCATGGCAAAGGAGGCAGTTCACGGAGGCAATTAGCCACAAAAATTCCATATCATCTTCCTATTTCTGACTCTCTCCTTCTTTCTCTGTTGCTTCAGGTGAATAGACACCAATTCTTGTGCCTTGGATGGCTGCCTTGCAAGCTTTTAAGACCCCAGGCACTACACGATAAACCAGGAGGTAGAACAGAAGCACTAAACAAGTTATTAGGCCAGTTAACTGGGATGTCTCATGAAACCATGACCCTTAGCCTCCAGACTAAGGAACCAAATGCCATGAGATGTTTGGTTGTACATAATAGTACTGTCTTTTTTATTTCAATTAGGTTAAATTTAATTTAGACTAAATTTGTTGATGGATCACTTTAAATATTGAACTTGTAAAGTGGTTGCATTCTCCATCTTCTGGGTGTTTTTTATTCAGACATTATGGATTCCCATGTCTATGACTTTGAATAGATTACATTGATTAATTTTGTTCTTATTTCCTTCAAGATGGAAATTTCAGAAACAGTTTGAAGCTTTCCCCATTTTTGAAGTGTACTTTCATTATGCAGTTATTTTCAACAATTATTGTTTTAAACTTGTGATAAAAGTTTTTAAAACTCCTAAAAGTTGTTGTGCACTCCAAATATTTATCAGGTAGTTTGCTGTGCTTATATTTGCGCAAGATTGTTTGAAATTTAAGTTATTTTGATAGCCTTTCATCCATGTAAAATGGTAGACCATCTTACAGATATGCTTTCAGAAGTTTTTCATGTGTGTGGCCAGCTCACGTATTTTTCTCTCATACAGTTCAAGGCTTTTCTTCAAAAAGCGATTTTGAGGAGCACCTTAAGTATGAAAATAACTCTAAAAAAATGCTGGCTGCTATTGTTTTTGACCATGAGTTCAAAGATAGCGATGATCCCCTGCCACTTAAGGTGAGAAAGTTTTATGTAGAAACCTCATAATCGTACTTCCCATTCCAGGAATTTAATGAAGTAGAGGTATCATTATCTCGTTTTATATGTGGGGAAATTAACTTGCCCGAGATCATACTGCTTGTACATGGCAGAGTAGGAGTTTGAATCCAAATTTTATTCACTTCAGTGTCTGTGCACTTTAGCTAATGCTGATGAGGAAAGAATTGTATTCACTACCTACCTGGCTTTACATTTATAAACTGAATCTTGAGAAACAGTGGCAACTAGGATATTGCTTTTACCACTGTATCTGGTATGACAGCTGCCTCCAACTCTGCAGATAGTGGTGAAGTAAATATACATTTCCGAGGTCAAAGGAGCTGACGTGATAAAGCAGATACAGCTTCACTAGCAGGGATCCCAACATGGAAAATGCCCTCTTGTGAGTGAATCTCATGTAATTTCTCTCCTACATCAAAATCTAGAAAATAACTCTAAGGCTCAGCCAGGCTGAATCAGAATTATGGAATCTGCAGACACTGAGGAAGATTCTAATAACAGCCCCCAAGGAGGAGAGTGAAGGACAGTGCTTTGAAGTTGATGTCTCTTTATCAGGTCTTATAGACAGGCTGCCTCGTGTTGAGGGAAATAACCAAGGTATAGTATATATGGAGCCCTGGTGGCACAGTGATTAAGAGCTCGGCTGCTAACCAAAAGGTCAGCAGTTCGAATCCACTAGGCGCTCCTTGGAAACATTATGGGGCAGTTCTACTCTGTCCTATAGGGTCGCTATGAGTCAAAATTGACTCAACAGCAACAAGTTATAGTATATATATACATGGAGCCAAATTCTGCATTTAGGAGATCGATGGCTGTCAATGGAAGGAAGAAGTAAGGAAACCACTGGTAGGGCTGTAGATACCTTTTCGTTCTGTCCAGTACTCCCTCACTCTTTCTATATATGTCAACTTCCCTCAGATTTCTGACCCAGTGTAGGCTGATGCTGGTGTAGGCTGATGCTGGTGTAGGCTCAGCAGTGTGCAAAGAGCCTGGCCAAAATGTTTTCAGTACTGGTTTGAATTTCCTCCTCCTCTGCCTTGTGTAATCTCCCTTTCCCTGCCCCTTTCACTGGGCTTACTCTTACTTATCCTTTAAGACTCTGCTGCTGTGACTCCCTGCACAGTCTAACCTGACCACACCTGCTTCTTTCTTCCTTCATACTCTCATTATACCCTATACATATCTCTATCACTGCACTTACTGTATTATAAAAATACGTGTTTCCTCAGCTGAATTTTTTTTTATTGTACTTTTGATGAAAATTTACGGAACAAATAGTTTCTCATTAAACAGTTAGTACACATGTTGTTTTATGACATTGGTTAACAACCCCACGACATGTCAACACTCTCCCTTCTCGAACTTGGGTTCCCTATTACCAGCTTTCCTGTCCCCTCCTGCCTTCTAGTCGTTGTCCCTGGGCTGTTGTGCCCCATTAGTCTCGTTTGTTTTATGGTCTTAAGCCAGAATTTGATCTCCTTGAGGGACAGCGTCTATGGCTTAATCCTCGATCATGTTACATAGTAAGTGCCTAAATTTTTTTGTCTTGATAATGGAATTTGTGTATTTAACTAGACCTTTCCCTCCTGATCTGACTGATTTTTCTGGTCGGACCCTTCTGACTTTTGGTGACTCTCGGTCTATTATTTGTTGACTTATGAAGCTACTTAGGCCCAAAAGGATGTACTTTGAAGTTTACTCAGCTCCGAGGAATTATCTTTTCATTTAATACTTAAAATATGCAGTACTCTATGTTTACATTTTATCACATTCCTCCTCTGTTCTCATGTAGGATTCTTTATTACTTACAGTCACTTTTAGGAGAGGAAGAGATTGTTGTCCCAGAACACTTGGATGACATAATGGAAAGAGAAATGAATAACACCCGTTGGTGTATTTCGTTTCAATATACATGCCAGCTGTCAGTTTAGGAAAAAATACATTCATAGTGATATGTAGGGTGCCACCGTGTTTGCTTACTGCAGACCCACAGTATACATCCAAGTGTTGTTGACATTTAAATAAAAAAATGTCATGAACTGGAGGGATGACAGATTTAAGGGAAGCCAACTTAAGATGACACATGGTCACAGCACGTGAGCTTGTGCTCTCACTTCCCGATGTCCAGAATCCATGCTGGCACTTGTTAGACCACCTCCAAAATCATATATTCCCATTTGCGCTTTAACTTCATTTTGTCTCTCATTTTTGATCAATTTTTTTGTGGGGAGTTTATAGATGTTTTTTGTTTCTGTTGTCTCTCTAGGTAAAATATTATCTACGCTTTAGTTGTTTTCAGAGGAACGATACTTTTGCAAGTCAGTTTTCTGTTAGAAGCTGGAGTACAGCTTTTCTCTTTCCATCTCGTACTTCTGTAGGACCCAGAGTCATAGGTGATGCTACTGGGGGAGCGCCTGGTAAGCAAACCCTTAAGCATCCTTATTTTAATGTCCCGGTTGTCTAGTAAGGGATATCACATGTTTATATTTACAGTTCTTCAACCTTGTGATGAAAGCTGTTTGCTTTTAACTTACTATGGTGGTGATTTTTTTAATTTAAATTTTCACTGACCAAAACACTTAGCACAAAATCCTGTATATTTGAACAAGGTAGTTATATGATCTTTTATCCTTTATTGATCATTATCATTGTATATTCTTATATATTAGTAGATTTACTTGTGAAGTTTTGACTCGAATGACCTAATGTACTCATTTCCAGGTATTGACACAGCCTGATTCATTATAACTGTGCGTTATTCTGTTGGATTGATGAACAGTTATTAATATAACTATAATAATTTTTAATTTAAAATTTATTACACAAACTGCCATTAAAAAGTTTTTAATGTGGGGCTTTGTTTTTACCAACAACAATGCAAACTACCTTGAGGAAATTATTCAACGAAAGAAACAATTCAGCATCATTCTTAAAAATTTGAAACAGCATACATCTTTAAATAAGGTAAATGACTAACACAATTATGAAATATAACTTGACAGACCATTGTGCAGTCATTAAAAATAATCATCATGAAATCTTCTGAAAAAGCAAAGTCCAGAACTCGATTATGAAATTATAACTATATAAACTACATATTCATCAGCACAAAACTCTCATAGATGTCCAAATATGAAAATAGTTGCTGTGTTAGGTTGGATAGATTGTGTTGTGTGTTATATTTTGAACATTGTTTTTCCAGTCATAACATTTAAAAAGGAATCTGGTGTCTTTTCCAATTTATGTTGTTGTGTTGTGAATTTAGTCTGAGGTATTACCTTACAAGTGTCAGTCTGATGAAAAAATCAGGAAGCTGGATAATGCTAAAATTTACCACGGATGTGAGGATGTAGAAACCCAGATGCACTGCTAAAGGGAGGATGTGTATGCTGATGTCTGTGAGTGGTAGTCAAATTAAGAATATGCTCCTAGGTAAAGACCCTAAAGAAACTCTTTTATGGATCTATAAGAACGTTCATGGCAGTGTTGTTGTGGTAGCAAGGAGTTGCAGACAATTAGGGCAACTGATTAGAAGGACTGAACTAGACGTATACATAGAGCATCTTAAAAACATAGAACTTAGTGAATAAAATATATAACAGTTTTATCTACATTAATTAAAATATATGCAAACAAAGTAGCTACACATTTTAGAAGAACAGATACAAACATAAAGATAGTCATCACACACATTAGAATGGTTGCCAGTGGGAAGGGGAGAGGGACAGGGATATAGGAATATAAAAGAGTAAATGCATAAAACAGGTCAAAGCACAAGAACCAATGTGTCGTAAACTAAGGCAGATGGCTAACTCAGCCCTATTCACCTGAGGATACAAACGTGTGTGCGTACGCACGCATGTGCGTCTGTGTGTGTACACATACTTGAATATGTACATGATATAAAGTAAAAATATATGAATTAATTAAAACACTTAAGCCCTATTTTTATTGTTGAATTACCTACTTGTTTCCATAAACTCCTATCCTTAATATAACCTTGATTTACACCAAAATACCAAACTCTTTGCTGTTAAGTCAATTCCAACTCATAGCGACCTTATAGGACAGAGTAGAACTGCCCTATAGTGTTTCCAAGGCATGACCAGTGGATTTGAACTGACCACTTTTTGGTTAACAGCCATTGCTGTTAACCACTGTGCCACCAGGGTTCCATATTGATTTATACAGTAGTCCTAAATAGAAAGACATTACTCAGCTGAAACATCTCCATCATGGGTGACCCTGCTGGTATTTAAATACTGGTGGCATAGCTTCCAGCATCACAGCAACATGCAGGCCCCCACGATACGACAAACTGACATGTGGGGGTACTATAAGATAGGTCCTGTTATATCAATTTTGCAGGTAACGTATCTGAGGCTCAGAGAGAGTATATAAATTGTGCAAACGGTTAAATAACTTACAAGCATTGGAGTTGGGATTTGAAATAAGACAGTCTGATTCCTGAGTCAGTTCAATAAAGTTTTCACCAAAGTTTCCCAGCATGTTATCAAAAGCAATACAAACGTATTTGAATTATGTAAATATGATCCTCCATGCTGTCAATGAAAATATTCACTCTAGTCCCAAGTCACAAGGACCTTTTGGGAAATAAATAATCTTGAACTTAAGGTCTTATCAATACCTTCCTCTAGAAGAATATTGGGGCACATTCTAGGCTTCCATGGATAGCTGCATGGGGAACCTTTACTTGTCCTAGTAAATCAAATGTTCTTTAGGGCAGTGCTACTCTGGTAAAAGTGTACTTTGTTTTGTTTTTAATTTTTCAAAACATTGTATACTAGCACTTTTGTAAAATACATTGAAAATGAATTACTAGAGACTTTTGATTCATGTTAGTAAGTAGAAGGATGTGAAAGACCTTTACTTCTGTGGTAGTAACAAGAAAAAAAACTGAGTAAAATAAAAGTAATACTTTTCTTTGTTGCTATTGAAGAATTTTGTATGCAAGGAAGCTTTGATGAACTAAATTCCAGAGAGGGATAAGCCCTTTATAGGTGAGCAGAGAGATGCTCTGGCTTCCATACCTGGTAGAAGTGCCTGATATAGGTATTAGTGTGCCAGCTATAGATGGAGACACTTTTTAGAGAAAAGCTGAAAACAGCTATGTGTTTAACAGTAATGTGGACTGGTGGGATGCATTAGAATCTGGATGAGCCCAAAAATCAAAAATAAGTGTTCGACAGTTTCCCCTCCCTTAAACCCTGGCAGTTTTTCCTCTGTAGCCAGCAGTGAAAGTGGGCTAGAAAGCAGAGAGAGTTCATACAATCTTGTAGTGTTTTTACTCTGGAACCTGATGGAATTGAATCCCAGGGTAAACCAAAACTCTCTGAAACTGTAGTTCTGTCTTGTCCTACTTCAAAGCCTGATAAAATGAAAAGTATTTGTCCATTGGCAGTGGCACAGGATATGGGGGATTGGGCAGAGGTGATTTAAAAGCAGATGTGAGCTCAATTTAATTAAAGCTGAGGTCCAGATTCAGTGTAGTTACACTCTTGTGGCATTTGAATGATCAGCTCTTCACTCTAGCTGTATGGCAGAAGAAGGGGCTAGCACTCTTTAAGGAACAAACAAAAATTTTACAGTAAAATCTGCAAAAGCCAGAACCTGTGTAAGGCAGAAAACTGTCAAAGAAGGAAAACTCAAATATTTTTCGCTAATAGAGATTATAGAAAAGTGATAGGACTGTACCTTGTCAAAGGCAGAAAACTTGCAAGACCCAGAAAAGCAGAGCAGTCCTATTGAGTTCTGGCTCTCACAGGTTTAACTGTACTTTCATTTTCATTGTTTTCACAATATCAAAAGCAATACAAAATGTATTTGAGTTATTTGAATATGATCCTTCATGCTAAAACTTCGAATGCTAAAACAAACAAATGGAAATTCTAGAACAAAATAGAATGTCTAAAATAAAAACTTCATTGGATGGGTTTAACAGCATATTGGACACAACAAAATAAAGGGTCAATAAGTTTGAGGACACACAATATGCATTTTTTGCACCAAATCAGAGAGAGAAACAGACTGATATTATTCAGCCATAAAAGAAATGAAGTACTTACTCATGCATGCTACAACGTGGATGCACCTTGAAAACATTATGTATGATTCCATTTATATGAAATATCCAGAATAGGTAAATCCATAAACACAGAAAGCAGATGGGTGGTTGCCAGGGGCTGAGTAGAAGAGGGAATGGGGAGTAACTGCTTAATGGGTATGTAGTTTTTTTTTTGGAGGGGAGAGGATAAAAATGTTTTGGAATGAGATATCAGCTGTGTTTGTACAACATTGTAAGTGTACTAAATGCCACTGGATTGTACACTTAAAAATGATTAATTATATGTTATGTGTATTTTACCTCAATTTAAAAAAGTGAACACAGCATCACGGACCTGTGAGACAACACTAAGTATTACGTATTTGTAACTGGAGGTACCATATGAAAAGGAGAAAGAGAATGATGCTGAAAACATGTTTAAAGGACTGTTGAAGATTTTTCGTATTTGATTAAAATTATAAATTTGTGGAGACAAGAAGCTCAGCAAACCCCAATCAGGATAAATACAAAGAAAATCATCCACTTTATTAGTCAAACTATGGAACACCTTGGATAAAGAGAACATCTGAAATGCAAATTGACACAAAGAAGAGACATATTGCATACGTAGGAATTACACCTTCTCAATTATCTGACATTTTGCATTTATGACGATAGTAAAAAATTACTATCTATTTTGCACATTGATGATGTATGTCTGGCAGTAATGAATGGCGAGGTGTGAGGCGAGACTAATGCTGGCTGTAATGCTTAAGGTCATGTGTCAGCTTGGCTGGCAGTTTGGTTTGGCGGTTATATAATGATGTAATTTGGCAGTTATGTAATGATGTAATCATCTTTCATTTTGTGATCTGATGTGGTCATCCTCCATTTACACATAATGCTGATTTTGCATAACAGCCTGGTCTTTGGAATCTAACCATGTTGATAAGTGAGGAGAGGGTACACAATAAGAATTATTGCTGACATCTCATCAGAAACAATGGAAACCAGGTGACAATGGAAAATATCTTTCAAATTCCAATAAAAAGACAATTCCAGAAACCTGGAATTCTAGATCCATTGAAAATATTCTTTGGAAAGAAAAGTGAAAAAAAGATATTTTCAGTTAAATGAAAGCTTAGTGTTTCACTATCAGAGCAACACTACAAGAAATGCTAAGGAAAGTTCTTCATAGATAAATAATACCAAGGAAATGCATATCTACAAGAAGGAATAAATGATACTAGAAATGGTAAACATATGAGTAAATACAAAATAACACATTTTTCTTTTCTTAATTTCTTTAAAAACCTATTGACTGAGCAAAACTAATGACATTGTTATCATGGG